CTAAGGATGCACCACCATTCTTTTTTAAATCTCCTTAGTTCCAAGTATATGTAATCCTCACTTGTATTTATAAAATGTGTGACATTCTATGTGTGTATGATACATGATACCATATGTAATGGTCAACCAGCCACTGGTAAAGCTACCCCACTAGACCATCACCATCCTTGTCTGTCAGGGATGTCTGACAGCCTGCTGGCCTTCGATGTCCAGTTAGCATACTGCGCTACAGAAAACCAGCAGCTGGTCCTCCCACACTGGGGTTCCGGATCACCCAACTGTCTGTGGGCTTAGCCTGCCTGCACCTGCTGCTTTTCTACAAAGTGTGTTCAGGACTTCAGCTGCTCTGTCCGAAGAGAGCACAGGGCTGTAAATGCCCTGAAAGTAGGATGCAATTGCAATGTAACCATCCACACAAAACGAACTGCATGAGAAGGAAGCTGGGAGCAGGAGACTCTGCTCACTGCCCTGGGGGCCACCTCAGATGGACCTACTCAGCCTCCATTCCTTATCCCGCAAACCCCAGGACCCAGGGCAGACTGTCAGGCATGTCTGGCCAAGCCTGCAGGTGCTTGAGAGGTTCAACTGTGCAGGGCCTGGTGGCACGGGGCTTGGGGAGACAATGTGCTTTCAAACCTGCAGAACAAGGCCCTGAGTCTGACAGGAAGGAAGGAAGGACCCAAATTTATGAGCTCCTTGTTTCATGCTGAGACTCGAATTCCAGGGAGAAAAACAAAGTCTCTGTGAAGGGACATTTGGGTTATTCATAGCTCTGCACTCCCCGGGTCACTGTCTGAAGACATAGCAGTGTGCGGGGGAGGAGGCCCCCACAAGTACAGAGGCCCATCCTTCTCTCCCTCCCTCCTTCCTCTCATGAACAGTGCACAGACCTGCAGAGCCCTGTTGGAGGGCAGGGAATGCCGCACTGGACCCAAGGGCTCTGATCACCCTGGTGGGACCCTGCTGTCTTGTGGTTCGTCAGGGTCCCTACGCTATGCCCCAGGAGAGTAGGAGGCCAGGCCCAGGCATCAAGCCACCACCTTCCCTGCTCTTGGCAGCTCTGGGTCCCCTTTCTTGGGCTGCACAGAAGGCAGAATCTGTGTGGATCCAGGTCAGCTCCTCAGCCCCATGTGACCCAGGCGGGTCACTCGCCTTTGGAGAACTGGATGGTGAGTGCCTCCTGGAGCCATTCAAACATTGAATAAGAGGCCCATGTGTGCTGTCTGTGGCCAAGGGGGTCCCACATCTGACTGCACGTCCCCTGCAAACACAGTGTGGGACGTGCCGCGTGCCCAAGCAAGGCTACTACCCTGCACAGGGTAAACCTTGGGCACAAAGTCCCTCCCAGCCCCATGCCTGGCCACAGCCTCACACCCAGGTTTATTCCTGGGAGAAGGGAGAGAGAGGCCCCGGAACTGTGACTCCATGGGGCCCATGACACACAGCTGTTATGTCCTGGGGCCAGGACATGGTGAGGAATGTCACATATGATGGCAGAGGCCATTTCCCATGCACACCACCCAGAAGTGACCATAGGAAGTGTCCTCTGTGCCTGGCTCTGAACAGACTGTGCCTTTCTCCTCCCCTTTGGGATTCCCTCTGTCCATACTCACAGTGGCGTGGGAAGGGCGCAGGTTCTGTGTGGACACTCAGGACTTCCAGGCAGTGTGTCCACATCAGCTGCCCATGCAGGCTGCCCACAGGCTTGAGAGGTTGGGGAGGCAGCAGGGAGGGGCTGGGAGCCTCCAGCAGGGCCTAGTGATAGTGGAAAGCGTCACATGGGCTTTCAGGCTGCAGAACAGCTGCAGACTCTGCGAGTCTGCAGGGCCCTACCTGTAGCACTGTGAGGCCAAGGGACTACTGAAACACCTTTAAGCCACAAGCGTGGCACCCTGTGACCCCTAACACTACGGAGGGCAGGGACAGCAAAACCTCATGGATCTGCAGCCTTGACAGCAGGGTGGGAGCATGGCAAAGGGGTGCAGGGTGTTTAAGGGGACAGGGGGTCCACTGAGGCTGATCCAGGACTGCCACTCAGAGCCGTCAGTCTGGGAATGGAGGTCTGGGTTTGCTGTGTGGCTGTTGTATCCCCATGGAGCGGCCTGCTTCTTAACTTCTCTTGGCCATGAGATATAATTAGAATATGAAGACACGTGCTGAGGTCGGGACTCTGAGGCCCACAAAGCCGAGAAGGTGGCTGCCCTGCCCTGCACCCCAAACCATGATCACTGGGGCAGCTGTGTCCATGGGGTCCTCTAGGGCTGCCTATCCCTGCAGGAGTCACACTTTGCACAGAAGCAGCTTCTGTCTTGCTCAGCTGCAGCTCCTGTTGCCAGGTGACAATGGCACTCAGGTTGAGACCAGGATGAGCAGGATCCCGGCTTCTGCCTTAACCCATGCTGGCTCTTCCTCTCCACAGTGATTCCAGCCTCCTGACTGCCACCCTCTCAGCTCTAGGAAAGTCTTCCAAGCTAGACACCCACCACACACACCACTCCTTCTCTGGTTTACCCCACTCTGTACTGGGTCTGCAGGATGGTGAGGCACCTGCAGGGCAGGGATTGTGTTGATTTGTTTACGGTTGGTGTCGAATAGGTACTCAGTAAACACTACACATGGACAGATGGACAGATGGATGGATGGACAGATAGAACTCAAACTTGCGGGGCTGGGGATTTAGCTCAGCGGCATAAGTGCCTGCCTTGCAAGCAGGCAGTCGTGAGTTCGATCCCTGGTACCGATAAAAAAGGAAAAAGACAAAAAAAAAAAAAAAAACCTCAGAACTCAAACTTGCAATCTTCCTGCCTCAGCCTCCCTCAGTCTGGGTTACAGGTTTGCACCACCACACATGGTTTCCTGGCTCTTTTAAAACCTTCTGTGATGATGCTCAAAGCTCTCAGGCATTTATGCATCAGCTCCACTTTCTGCCCTTCTGGGATTCTGCTCTGGATTTGAGGGGAAAGTCTGCCCCAGATAGTGCCTGGCCTCAGGCCCTGGGCCCTCGGGCAGCACTGGGTGGCCTCACCTGCAGCCAGAGTACCTGAAGATGGAATAGGGAGGACCCCGCACAGTCACAGCAGGTGTGGTCTGGGAGAGACATCGAGACAGATGGAGGAAACCATGAAGAGAGCTTGGCTCATTGTTCATGATCTAACATTAATTAGCATTCTCCAGGGGCCATAAATCATAGCCTGGCAATGACCTCCAGCCTCTGTCTTAGTGGGGGTGGGGCCCCAGAGGAGCCAGGAGGCCTATGGTGGGGCAGGGAGGCCACCAGCATCCTTCCTTGGGCTGCCCGGGAGCCAGGGAAAGAGGCTGAGCAGAGGCCCAGGGCCAAGGTGGCCTCCTCCACGGGGACCTGGGCCTCCCCTCCAACCCAGGCTCCAGTCTGCACTTTCCTCCCTCCCCCAGTCCCCACCTATGGGTTCCTTGGTGCCTCCTTGGCAGTAGGCCACTCTGTTGCAGGCATGGGCAGCCTCTGCCCAGGTGCTTAGGCAAGGACAGTGGCCATGTGGAGGTCACAGGTCCCTGCAGTCCCACATGCTCCCCGAGTACTGAGGTTGCCCCTGTGCCATGCAGGATGTAGTCTCACAGGTTGTGATGTGGGACCCCTGGGCACAGTGCACTGGGTTCACATCTGGCACCTGAGTCCTTGAAGACCTCTGTGCAGACTCCAAAGCTCTCTTAGGGGACACAAGGGTCCCTCTGGCTCACCAACCCTCTGGGGAGCGATGACGAGTGGTGTGGACACTGCCACACTGTTGCTGTGCTTGGCCCTGGGCACAGACTCCCAGGTCCAAGCCCTCCCCACCCTGAGCACCCAGGATCCTGTGGCCCTCAGACTCCAGGAACAGTCCCTGGATGTCTCTGTTGCATGTCCTCCCTTGCTCTCCAAGTGGATCAGCAAGGACTCCATCCTTCCACCCAGGCTCTGCTCAGTGAGTCCATGCTGGGCTTCAGCCTGCCATACAGGGGTGGGGGTTGGGGAAAGTGACCAGGCCAGGCTGAGCTCAGGATGGCAGCGTCAGAGCTCTGAGCTCCAAGTTGGAACACTGGGACTCCTTCCTGCCCTCCTGGCCCCTTGGGCAGGTGCTGGCCAGGACCCAGCCCACAGGGTACAGAGGAAGTAAATCCACCTGTACCACCTGGCTAGGTGCACTGTAAAAGGTGGCAGGGTGACCAGAAGCCAGGCTGGGACACAGGGTGGGCCTGTCACTTGTCCCCCATGCCTGGTTCCTGATATATAGAAGAGACAGTCACTGAGTTCAGTTCACCTGAGCCAGGTCGCTGAGGATGGGCACCCCATGGACTTCTGGACTTTGGTGTGGCTTTTAGAACTGGTAGCCAATGCCTGACAGGCAGAAATAGCAGGTGCACCAGGCGCTCGGCCCCAGCCCCCAGATCTGTGTTGGCCCTGAGGCCTCAGGGCCGCCAGCCTCTGCAGAGAATAGCAGGGGCCACCTGGTGTCCACAGTCCACAAAGCTGCCAGGTTGAGCAGTAGCCTCACTGCATGTGGATGCGAGGAGATGTGGTCCTTCTCCTCCCCACCATTTCTGAGCCACTGCTCCCACTGTGCGACCTTGACTAGCCAGGAGCTGCTGTGGCCTCCAGGGTCTCAGTGGCACAGGCAGCCGGGCTCCAGCACTCTTTAGATCCTTCAGGCTTCAGGTTCAGCTTTCCTCTTGGTGTGAACTGGCTCTAGAACTTGGTCTCCACTGTGCTGGCATGGAATGCAAGGTTGGTTACAGGGTTCAGGCCTGGGCTCAGCTGGACACATCCCTCCCCAGTTATCACAGGAGGTGCCTGTTCTTTGCTGGGCTCTAGGGACTGGGGATTTAGCTCAGCGGCATAAGCGCCTGCCTTGCAAGCAAGCTGTCGTGAGTTCGATCCCTGGTACTGACAAAAACGAAAAAGACAAAAAAAAAAATCTAGAAATCTTTGCTGGGCTCTGTGACAGCGGCTGCGCCAGGGCCGCTGTGCTGACACCTGTGTCTTTCAGGTGCCGTCCCGGGACAGCATGGTGCACAGCAGGTGGACGCCCTGGCTGCCTGTCCTTGTGGTAAGCAGCCCTGGTGCCCGCTCATGCGAACCCACTGGTCTAGTCCACTCCCTTCACCTGCAGGGCCCTGGGTGCCAATCCTCAGCCTTGGCTTTGCTTGGTGCAGGTGTCGGTGGTGTGGTCAGCCAGTGCAGAATACTCCAGCTGCGGCGAGGATGAGTTCTACAACCAGACGACCGGGTTGTGCCAGTTGTGCCCACCCTGCGGGCCAGGCGAGGAGCCCTATATGGTAAGGGCAAGTCCCAGCCTGCAAGAGGTGGCTGCCCCTGCTCCTGTTCCTGGGGAACCCCTTCCTCTCTGAGACCTGAGCATTCATCTCCCACCTCTGTGGGAAGATGCAGCCTTTGGGGCTCCGGTCCAGGAGGGGGCTCAGAGAGTGGATGCCAAGGTGGCCTGTGGCTGAGCCAGGAAGTTGCCCCAGGATGGGATAGAAATGGGGTTGAGCCCTCCCCCCATGCTTTCAGGGTCTCTGTGTTCCTCACTCACCACCCCAACTGCTTTTCCACCAGTCCTGCGGCTATGGCACCAAGGATGAGGACTACGGCTGTGTGCCCTGCCCCGCCGAGAAGTTCTCCAAAGGGGGCTACCAGATCTGCAGGCGCCACAAGGACTGTGAGGGCTTCTTCCGGGCCACGGTGCTGACACCAGGGGACATGGAGAACGATGCAGAGTGTGGGCCATGCCTCCCTGGGTAAGTGTAGCCTTGTGAGCACCTGGAGTAGTGTGGATGGCATGGCACTGTGGTGCCTGCTGGGTCCCACATGGGGCAGCATCCAATCACACAAGTGTCACCACACAACAACAGGTAGTACCAGGTGACTCTCCATGGGAAGCCACTCGGCCAGGCACTCAGAGTGAGCAACAGATGCAGAGCACTTTGGAGGGGAAAACTAAACTTCCACATGAAGTATGATGTTTGGTTTTTGTAGTATTCTGGGAAACTTGAAGGTAAAAGCTACTAATGAAAATGCTTCCATCATACAATGCCTACAATTGTACCACACTGCAGCTGTGTATCAGAAATCTATCTTCTGAAGTGATGAGGGAGTGATGATAGAGGTAGGAGTGGAGACTGACCAAGATGACAGAGATGGAGGTGAGGGAGGTGGTAATGATGGTGATGGAGGTGTGAGGGCAGAGGTTAACCAGAGGATATGGTGATGATAAGCAATGTGGCTGGCTGAGGTCATGGCCCAGCAGTGTTGTGAACAGCAGACTACACTTCACAGTGTGCTGGTACAGATGTTGTCTCCCTAGGTCCCTGTGTTGATTTGAGAAGAAGAAAAACATAGGAAGAGCCTAGAAGGAAGTACATTAGAAAGACTCACCAACCTAAAAGTAGATACAGTCAGGCTTGGTGATGCATACCTGTAAACCCAGCACTTGGGAGACTGAGGCAGGAGGATTGTGGTACGTTGGAGACCAGCCTGGGTTACAAAGTGAACTCAAGGCCAGCCTGAACTGCATAGCAACACTCTGTTTCAAAAAAAAAAATAGATACAAAGTAAACTAACCCTTTATAATGAAGACATATAAGAGGTGATCAAAAAATAATGCGTATAAATTCTTTAAAAAGAAGCGCTGCCATAGAGCTCCCTCAAAATCCGCCCTTTGGCTTTGAACACACCTATCCCATTGTTGGGAGCCGCAGCCCCGAGCCCGGTCGCCTCACTTGGCGGACGTGAGGCCTGTAGTAAAGAGTGAGGCCTGAGGTAGATTACCCCTCCCATCGAATATGCTAGTTTCCTGCTTACCGCGTAAACAACCCGCTCAACAATATAGTCTGCCTGGCAACTGATGATGTTAGCCAATCAGCTTGCCTTGCTTACTTTAACATGATTGGACACTGTACCCGTATATATACTGGTGCCACCCCTGGGAGGAAGTAGAAGCCAGGTAAAAGCCCGGAAGTAGAAGCCCAGAAGGAGCTGCGGAGAGCGGACCGATAGAGGCTTCGGGGCAGACTGAAGCACAAGAGGAGCCGCGGAGAGCGGACCAAAGGAGGCTTCAGCTGGGAGAACCCAGGGCAGGCTGTACGGAGAAAGAAGAATAAAAAAAAAAAGGTTGTCCACTACCAGACTATGTCGTGTGTCCTTCCTGCCGGCCGGGAGCGGACATCGACATTTGGAGGCCCGCCCGGGGACTGATCACCCCCGAGACGTGGAAGTGGACAACGCTCCAGTACAGAGCTGCGAGACAGGTGAGTTGGGGATAAGCCTGGGCTCTGGGTGGCGCGCACCTACAGGGCTTTTAGACTCCCCTCAGGCTCACGCGTAAGTGGCGGATTCCTTGGGCCTCACGCGGTGAGTAACATATTAAAAAATGGGAAACATGCTAGGTAGCGGCACTAAGAGCGAGGGTGGTTGTGGAGAAAGCTCTCAAGAGCTTACAAAAGTATGCAGGGTATCTGAGCAGGCCCAGTCAGGGAGCTCCCGAGAGGGGTCTGTCAAGGGGAACAAGGATGCTAAGGAGGAGGACGGGGCTCTAGCCTCGGAGTCGTCTGACTCCGAGGACGAGGGAAAGTTGAATGGCAAGGAGGCCAAAGAGACCAGCTGTCAGGAGCCTAAGTCGCTCAATAAGGAGTCGCAGGGTTCTTTTCCAGCGTTGCCCCGCGAATTGCGCTCTGCTCAACCTGGTCTGCGGAGGAGTAGAGAGCTCCTGAGTGCGCCCCGGCGCGAGAGGGAGGCGAAGCCTTCCGCCCCACCTTGGGGGCCGTTTCCGGAGGCGATCCCTCGCCGCGGGGCGGCCGCCCGGGAGCTCCCTTCCTCTTCGCCAGAACAGGAAGTGATGCACGGGCCCCCATTTTCCGCCCAATCACGGCCGTTGTTTTATGCTCCGCCGCCGGCGGATCGGTATTTTCACAGGTGGCTTTGGCAGGGGAGACGCTTGTTTCATGAGGTACATCCACCACCTGGGATGGATAGTGACCCCTATGGGATATTTCCTGTACAAGTGGCTATAGGCCAGGGACGCAATGTACGGGAGCCTTTTGAGATAAAGCAGATTAGAGAACTTAAAAATGCAGTTACAACTTTTGGGCCGACTGCGCCTTACACCATTGCCATGCTGGAGAATCTGTCTTCTGGGCCCCTCACCCCCGCGGACTGGATTCAGCTGGCGGGGGCGTGTCTGCCCTCGGGCAGTTACCTGGATTGGCGAGCCTGGTATGCAGAGTCCTCTGCAGAGCAGGCTGAGAGAAACGCCAATCGGGAAGACCGGGGGTGGAACAAGAAAATGCTTGTGGGAGAGGGTCGGCGCGCTGATGGTCAGACTCGATTCCCCGGCGCTCTCTGGCGGGGAAGAGATAGAGAGCCATCCGCTCCGCCCTGGAGCTCTTTTCTAAAAGCGGCTCCCCGCCGAGAGGCCGCCACAGGAAACCCTCCCTTCCCTCAGCCGGCACAGGAAGTGACGCCCCGTTTCACTCTGTCGCGACCGCAGTCTTATGACGTCGCGCCGCTGGGCAGACGGTATTTTCATGGGCGGCTACTCTGCCGAGCAGGCTGAAAAAAACGCCGGTCGAGGAAAAAGGGGCTGGAGATTTAGCTCAGTGGCATAAGCGCCTGCCTTGCAAGTGTGCAGTTGTTAGTTCGATCCCTGGTACCAATAAAAAAAAAAAAAAAAAAAAAAAAAAAAAAAAAAACGAAAAAGATAAAAATAAAAAATAAAAAATAAAAAACAAAAAGGGGGAGTAAACCCTCGAGGTTTGATCCCTGGTGATGTTTGGCAGATGGACATCACACATATACAGGAGTTTGGGACTCTTAAATATGTTCATGTTTCCACAGACACCTGTTCTCGCGTCATATTTGCAACAGCAGAAACAGGTGAAAAAGTGTCTAATGTGATCAATCATTGCCTGGCGGCTTGGGCCGCATGGGGCAAACCAAAAATATTAAAAACTGATAATGGACCAGCCTATATAGGCAAGGCTTTCAATGAGTTCTACAAAATGATAGAGGTTCAATTAAAACATGGTATCCCATACAATCCCCAAGGTCAAAGAATCATTGAGAGGGCTCATAAAAGCCTCAAAAAAATTTTACAAAAACAAAAAGGGGGAGTAGGCCAAGGCCTGGCCCCAAAGGCACGATTATCCATGGCACTATTCACACACAATTTTTTAAATTTAAATAATGATAATCGCTCCCCAGCTGTGGAGCACTGCAACCCTTCCCCCAACCATAAAGGGTGGGTGAAGTGGAAAGATGTCCTGACAGGACAATGGATGGGCCCGGATCCAGTGGTCAGCTGGAACCGAGGCGCGGTTTGTGTTTTCCCACAGGAACCGGGACGAGAACCACTGTGGATACCGGAGAGACTGACACGGACAACAAAGCCCTCGACTAAAGATCAGACCTGCCCTACTGGAGATCCATCACAGACCAACCAACAAGATGAATAGAAATAGCGGTAGCCCGAAATGGACAAAAAGATCCTCAGGCATATGCATGGCTTGCTCGATTGGCCCACGACCGAGTCTAGATATGGCGGGCATCCTTCATTCTCCTCCATAAGGTGACAATACACAGCAGGGTAGATGAGTCAATGACGGGTAAGAGCGTGCCTCCCCAGCACGACTCGACCTAAGCCAGGCCCTACCCCATCCTGCACGTAAGCCGCTGGACTGTTAGATGCTGCCCAGGTCTAAATTTCTCTCCGAGGGGATTTCTTTACGGAGAGGAAATGAGTGCAAGCTTGTGTGCATCCAGGTTCCGTCCAGTTTGTGCCTGGCCCTAGAAAAAGGACGAGGGCCTCAGGGCCTTGGCAGACCATGGGACGGCCGACCAGGGTCTAAGCCAAGGACCTACGGTGGGCCTACGCATAGGGCATAAGCCTCTGCACCCAGTCCAGGAAGGGCTACGATGCGCACATTCATAAAAAATAAAAAAGGGGGAGATGTTGGGAGCCGCAGCCCCGAGCCCGGTCGCCTCACTTGGCGGACGTGAGGCCTGTAGTAAAGAGTGAGGCCTGAGGTAGATTACCCCTCCCATCGAATATGCTAGTTTCCTGCTTACCGCGTAAACAACCCGCTCAACAATATAGTCTGCCTGGCAACTGATGATGTTAGCCAATCAGCTTGCCTTGCTTACTTTAACATGATTGGACACTGTACCCGTATATATACTGGTGCCACCCCTGGGAGGAAGTAGAAGCCAGGTAAAAGCCCGGAAGTAGAAGCCCAGAAGGAGCTGCGGAGAGCGGACCGATAGAGGCTTCGGGGCAGACTGAAGCACAAGAGGAGCCGCGGAGAGCGGACCAAAGGAGGCTTCAGCTGGGAGAACCCAGGGCAGGCTGTACGGAGAAAGAAGAATAAAAAAAAAAAGGTTGTCCACTACCAGACTATGTCGTGTGTCCTTCCTGCCGGCCGGGAGCGGACATCGACATCCCATCACTTTTGCCTTTTTTTTTTTTGTACTGGGATCAAACTAGCTTGCACTTGCCCAGCAGGCGCTGTGCCCCTGAGCTATATGCCTGGCCCTTTGCCAGTTTCTGAAACAGTTCTGGAAGTCCTCTTTCATGAGTGTCTTTACACAGTGTGATCAAAAACATGGTGAATGCTGCCACCAAATGCCATCAATAGAAAGACAGGTTGGTAAAAGTATGATGGTGTGTCCTCATCCATCTTATTCACTGGTGCTGTGCAGCTTCAGGCTCTTCCCCAAAGACAGAGTGACCGTGAAATGCCAATGTTATAAACTGATTCAGGACATCAAGCCAACCCTGACAGCACAACAAAAGACACTCAGGAAAGAACATTACCAGAACTGCTTCAGGAAGTGGCAAGAGCCATGGAGTAAGTGGGTTTGAGGTGAGAGGGAGGATTTTGAGAGGAATTAATGGCAATGTGTCATTTACAGTAATTGGCTTTTTATTTAGACACATTGTGTTTTCCTATTACACCTTGTACATTTTAACTTAGTCCAATTTGGTCACTAAGAAGCATCACTTCCTTGGTGTTCGCCACCACCCCTCTGCTGATGACTCTGCCCCATTTTCTGTCTCAGCTCAGGCCTACCGCCTGAGCCACAGACTCAGACACCCAGCTGTCTGTGGGCACCCTGTGCCCCTGACACAAGTATGATCCAAACATCTGTCAAGGGTTCTCAGAGCAGGAGAACCCTGTCCTAGAACCTAATTTTTCAGTATGCAGAAAAAGGCAGAAAGCTATGAAAACAGGGAAGCTACCGGACTCTCTCTTAATGAGCTGTGTAAGAGTAGAAGCATTGTCACTGACAGCTTTAGTTCAGGTGTTGTAGTTTTGAGTCACAGTCAGAGGACAGAGCAGTCCAGCCAACTAGGAGCCCCCAGGAAATGGCTCTGTACAAACCTGTGTGGCCCCTGAATGACAAGCATTCAGTAGACCTTGACGACAGATGCTGGAATCCATCTCTGAGTGCATACACACTTCCTGAGTTTCTTCTAGACTGATTCACTCACTGACTTTATTGGTGTGAATACAAGATCCATGAAAGAAAGATGGAGCTCTAAGGATTAAGTGTAGGAAAGATGCATGCTGCTCACTCTGAAGGAGATCTACCCTGGTCACAACGCCTGAATGTATCTCCAGAGCCTGACACATGCCCTGAGTAACATAAGAGCCACTGCATTCAGTCCTGTGTAACTTTAGCTCCAAGGGACCAGGCTGAGGTAGCACATACCCCTCTGCTGGCTGAGTCAGGGGAGCTGCCTCTGCAAGTGCAGTGTCCAGGATACCAGGGAGCCCTTATTTCCTGGAGGGGCAGGGTGTCCAGGGTTTTGGGAGACTTCTGGAGGGAAGGTAGGCCAAGAAATGAAACAGAGGTCTCCAGAAAGATGCTGAGCCCAGTCCACGGGCCAGGGACCAGCTTTCCTGGAAGGTGGGGAGAAGCTGGGGACAGGCAGGTCAAATGGAAGGTGGCCCTGGAGACAAGCTTCAGCTTGTGGCTGCCTTGAGAGACCCAGGCAAGAGGGTGGTCATCAGTAGGACTCTTCTGGGCTCTCTGTCCCCTGGCACAGCACTGACTGGTCCTCACCTTCTGCATGACCTCCCACCCTGCACCAGTGATATGTGGTATCCTTGTGCTGCCCCCTTGACGTGGCTACTGCTCGACGATTCCCTCTCAGGCACTCTGTGAGCTTTCTGCTTAAAGCAATCCTCCATCCCACAGTGAGTTTTGGGCCTGCTGGCAGCACTTGAGGACTCTGTCTCAGGGGAAGATGACAGTGTGTCCTGGCAAGGGGCCTTGCAAGTTCCATGCACAGCTCTTTTCACCATGAGTTCCTTTGGTCACCACATTGCTGCAACAGATCAGCTCTGTCTTCTGAGGGCCACACCTGCCGCCACTGTGGTTTGGCAAGCTGGCTGCTCATTGTTTGCCTCTACGCTGCTATGATGTCCTGTGGCCTGGCTGAGGCAGCGCTCAACAGTGAGCAGGCAAGGGCTTTCCTGTGGATGGGGTAGGTGTGGGAGGACAGGAGGTCTCCTAACCTCTGGGGCTAGACAGGAGGTTTGGCCTGGTCCAGGCCCTGGCTCTACCTGGAGCCCAGACTCCTGCCAACGTTCTGCTGCCTCCCTCCCCACGCAGGGATTCAAGGGGTGTGCTAATGAAACAGAGACCAGAAAACAGTCGCAGAAAGTGGGAAGATGACAAGCCCATCTCCTAGTTTACCTGACCAGTCATTATGTGGCAGAAGCTGAGCTGGTAAAGGGAGGGAACTGGGCCTGGGAGGAGAGGCCTGTGCTGGTGACCAAGTGCCCTCTTCCATTGGAATGTGCAACCACTCCACAGCAGGCTTCACGTGGGGCCCTGTAGTCCTCAGGCTGCCTGGGCAGTCAGCTGTGCTCCCTCAGGACACCTGCAGCCTCACAAGTGGCCTGAACTCATGAGCAGTGTTGTGGGCAGTGCTGCTGACAGTCTGAGGCCAAGGCTCTGTAGGGGCCAGGCTGTAGGGCATTCCTCCTCCAGATGCCCACATGGCCGCACCCAGTGGCTCTGGGGGAGATGCCCATGAAGATGGGGACATGCACTCACAGAAGTCCTCAGGACCAGAACCAAAGGACAGGGAGGTGGAGGAGAGGGCCAGGCTGGAGGAGCAGCAACACTAGAAAAAGAATGTCCACTCAGGACACAGCACCCCGGAAACCCAGGGCCTGGGGCTGTCAGGCTGGCATGATCCATCTTGGCTGCCCCAAGCCTGGCTCTGATTCCTGCCAGGTAACACTGCAGCTTCCCACTTATCTACTGTCCTTCTTGTCCCTGCAGCTACTACATGTTGGAAAACAGACCCAGGAACATCTATGGCATGGTCTGCTACTCCTGCCTCCTGGCGCCCCCCAACACCAAAGAATGTGAGTGCGCAGGAAAGCGGGCTCCTCCCCTGTGCTTGCCTCAGGTGCCTGAGGGCCTGGTTTCTGTTCCCGGTGTCCCAAAATAAAATAAGCCCTGCCTGTCTCCTAAAAAGCAAGAAGTCAGGGGGTGCAAAGGGGTGGAGCCTAGAGGGAACAGACCCTTGGCTGAGGGGCGGGGCCTTGACGGGGGGCGGGGCCTAGGTCATAAGGGAGGAGCCTTGTTGGGCGGGGCCGAGCTCGCAGGGCCACCATAGAGATCCTTCTCCAGCTCTCACGCCCCGCGCCCGCCCCTTTTTCTCACGGGATCTGGACTGAGGTGGGCAAGTGGTTCTGAGGTGCGGTGGAGAGGGCAGATGGCGGGCCCCACTGTCTGCTTGGTCTGCTACTGCCTGTCGACCGAGGAAGGAGACCCCACAGGGGTCTGACCTCCACCCACAGCCCACCTCCTCATGTCCGAGGTCCCAGGGCAGCCCAAGGAGGCCGGCGAGGGCCCCTAGGCACTGCGAACGCATTGTGTGTGCACCTATGTAGGTGTGGCGAGGTCCACGAATGAAGCCCGCTTCCCAGGCTGCCTGGTGCTGACAGCAGGCCCCATGGACCTGCCACTGCTTGATCTCACCCTGCTTTCAGTATGTCTCTGAGACTGAGAGGCTGCGGGCACCTTGGAGCTGCCTCAGTTTCCCTTATCTCCACCGCACGACTGAGACACAGGCTCTGTATACTAAAGGGAAGGTGTGCCTGATTGCCTCCTAGTGTCACCTGTTCCCGCCCGGCCACATCCCCATGAATCCTGTTAAGGCTGAAGGCAGACGCAAACCCTCTAGCCACCGAGCAAACCCAAGAACAGGATGCACTAGTTGCCATACGTTCTGGCTTTCAGTCCCCAGCTGTCCTGAAGGTACTGTGTGACAGGCAGCAGCCAGAGCACCAACTGGAGGAACCAACAGGAAGAACATCTGTCAAGCACGTCTGCTCCTGGGAAAGCCACCTGTGCAGCTTCACAGGTCACTGAGAAGACAGGAGGGGCAGAGCATCGAAAGTGCCCGTGCCCGTGCCCGTGCCCGTGCCAGTATCCAGACGTCACGGTCTGGGAGTCAAAACGGGATTTGACAACACCAGGGAATCCCTGTGCCAGAGCTTCAGTGGCCACTGTCTTGCATCCTCGGGGGTTTCTATTGCTGTCGGTGAGCAGGACCTAGCATCCACTCCAGACTGGTTCATGTTGGGTGTTTCCCTGGAGCACAGTGCCACGCTGGAGACCAGAGTGGGAGTCTGCACAGCTGTCTCTGAGGAGCAAGGTCTGGACCCTCAAGTACTGCTTGTCGCCACAGACTTTTAACAAGTGGATTCTGAGGCAGCCAGTCTGGCTGGGCCTGGGCTAACCACTTCTAGCAGCCAGAGGGTCTGATCTGCTCCCAAGCCAGGATCTACAGCCAGGGTCACAAAGTCGAAGTCCAAGGGCAGCCTGGCTCACAGTTCCAGAACACCATGCAGGCCAGGCCCATCACAGGCCCCAGGGCCTGAGTGGAGGCACAGCTCGTCTGAGTTGGTGCTTATAGCTTCAGCTACACAGGCCTCAGGGCTTATCATGTGCTGCACAGATGCAGACGAGAGCGGAAGGCGAGTGGACCCGAGACCCGAGTGGACCCAAGTGAAAGGTTCGCCTGTCTCCTGGGTCAGTGGTCTTTATTTGCCTCCACTGAAGCTAGGCCCCAGGGACATCTCACACAGAAATGCATCAATGTGCTGGAGGGGGACCTCATGGCACTATAAGGGCTGCCAGCATGGAACTGGTTCATGTCAGATCTCATGGACATGACTCAGGACTTTGTCAAGTGGGCATGCACACCAGGCCAGGGGCCTGCAAGAAGTGCCAGCCTGGGAAGGAAGAGGGGGCTCAGCAGCCACCCTGTCCCATTTGTCTATGACCACAGCTGGTAATAAGGCCAGTGGTATGGGAGCCAGAACAGAACCAGCCTATAGCCCAGCCCCAAAGCCTGGGTACTCTGATCCCACAGGTTTTCCCTGATAATATGTGATGGTGACAAGGGCCACAGGGGACCTCATAGGTGCTGAAGTCAGCCTAGTGGCCTGGGACAGCAGGCCCCACCTCTGTTCTTCCCACCCATTCTCTTATACTCGGAGGGCAGAGAACACTGAACTGGGAACAAACAGATCACATCAGCTGCCCATAGAGATGAAACATGGCCATGTCTGTGAGAGGCAGGGCACCCTGGCATGATTCTGGCAGTTGTGAGCATGGCTGAAACCCACGGGTCCTTCTGAGCTGTGCTGGGGCTCTGGAAGGCATCTCCCTCCCTGCAGATTCTTGGGGGACAAATGCTCAGGAAGGGAATGCAGAGCCTGAAAGGACTGTTTGGTAGGGATGGCTGCAGGGTTCAGCTCCAGTCCTGGTGCAGACGTGGAACTGTGAGGCCTGGTAGAGTACTCCCCCTCCTGCCCACAGTGCCCATCCTTCATAGACAGTGTCCCTCTGGGCAGGGAGCACCTGTTGGGCAGTGCCAGGGACAACACTGGGGCACCAGGCAGATGGGCTGGCCCTGAAGCAGGCTGGTCACACCATCTGGGATGTCATCTTGTAGCAGCCTCTCTAGGCCATGGGCCTGAGCATATCTGTGTCCCTGTCTTTGACATTGTCGCCTACCCTGCCTAAAAACTGCAGCAAGAAGGGACTAGAAAGAAGGAGAACAGTGAAGGTCTGCAGACATGGCACACACTCATGAGAATGAGACCCTTTCAGACAGGTCAGTTTCCTTTCAATGTCCTATTGGCTCTAGAGCAGGAAACTGAATTTTGTTTGAACTGAGCCACCAGCTCCATCTTGCTCCCTGCTGCTGGCATCTGATCAGTGGCTCCCAGTGTAATATGGGAGGCAGCACAGCTGCCAAGGCCTTGCTGCACATTAGGCTGGATGGGGAGGCTGAACTGGGAAAGCAGAGCTTGGCCAAAGTGACAGGAGCTTCCAGTTACCCCGCAGTTCTGCATTCTATCTGTCTGTGAGAGGCAGGAAGCAGGGGTGACTGGCTGGTAGCATGGGCCACTCCGTGACCTCCACCCTGGCTGAATGGCTGTGTCCTTGCTCTGAGCCAGGCATGGCCCTGTGCTGCCCAGTGTCTCAGAAGACAGCAGTTTGCTGGCATTTTGGTTCAGCACCTTTTGCCGGCTGCACACTGGATAGTGGGGGCAGAGGGTGCCACCCTCTGGGAGCCGCATGTGTCCTGGGCCTGTGAGTTGCTCTCAGTAACACAAGCTCAGCTCACACTGATCTCCAGAAGCAACAGAGAAGAAAGAGCAAGGAAAGGACAAGAGCCTCATGCTCCCTGAGCAGCATTCCAGCTGTGGCTGTGGCCATCCATCTTGGAAGAAGCAAGTCTCCATCTGGTTATCTTTGTTTGTTGGAGCCGACTTCTGGCTCATTAGGGATTTATGAGATGCCAGTATTGGCCTCTGTTTTCTCCCTGCTAAGTGAGCTTGTCTACAAAGTATTTCATGAGTCACAGCTGAAAAGGAAGGCCTGGCCCATCCCAGTACTTGGATGGCTTGATCTCAGCTACTGTGGAAATGTATATTAGAAAAAACCCACAGGGAAATGCACCAAAATCAGCATTCGGTGGGGAGGCCAAGGGCAGATCTTCCCCTCTCCTGTTACTTCCTCCAGACTTTTAATAATGAGAGATGCTGTTTTTATGAGTAGGGAAGGTATTAAGAACACTTCCATGCTATTTGTATTTGAAACGTCAGTAAAGCACTATTCCACCCCCAGAAGCCTTTCACAGATCTGCGCTTTCCTCCTCCTGATGGGTTGTGCACAGCCTGCCCAGGTTGCTGGGAAACCGAGCTGGCAACCTGAAAACCCAACTCTAGCAGTGTTACTAGGGCCCCATCCCTGCCTCCCTTCTTTTCATCTCTATTTAAAGAGCAGGAACTCTGTGAGGTCAAAATATTCTTTAAGGAAAATTAAGCCCTGCTGTATTCCCTGGGGTGTATGGCTTGCCCTGCCTGCCGTAGTGGCATCTGCCCGCTCACCTGATGAGGCCACTGCATTCTCCCCACAGGTGCAGGAGTCTCCTCAGGGGTCTCTGCCAACTCTCCCCGCACATCTGGGGGCAGCACCTTGCCCCCCTCCCAGCATGCTCACAAAGGTGAGGGGCGCCTGGCTGGGTGAGGGCAGCGTGGCTCGATGGGAGGGGCCTGCAGGATGTTCACCCACTCCCCCTTGTGCCAGCAGAGCTCTCAGGCCAAGGACACCTGGCCACTGCCCTGATCATTGCCATGTCCACCATCTTCATCATGGCCGTGGCCATCGTTCTTATCATCATGTTCTACATCATGAAGACCCGGCCCTCTGCCCCAGGTGATAGCCCTCACCCTGCCTTTCCTCCAGACACGCGTCCCTGGCCTGGGGACAGCCTGGCTGCTGACGCACGCACTTTCTCCAAGCAGCCTGCTGCAGCAGCCCCCCTGGAAAGAGCGTGGATGCCCCTGTGAGCCAGGGTGTGGAGAAGAAGGAGGCCCCAGGTCTGTTCTGCCCTGGGTTGGGGGAAATGGCCAGGGACACCATTCCAAGCATGGCCAGCTGATCCTCCCCACCCACTCCGGTCCCCTGCAGATGGTGTAGTGATCTTCTCCGAGAAAGACGAATTTGAGAAGCTGACGGCGACCCCAGCAAAGACCACCAAGAGGTAAAAGGGGTGGCCCATGGGGACTTAGCACTGGGTCTCCAGGGAGCTGCTTCTCCATCAGCATGCAGGGCTCCATGCTTCTCACTGTGTCCCAGAGCTTCTATTCCCTGAGGTAGATAAAGAGCCCAGCTGAGGGCAGGCAGCTGGGGACTTGAGAGAAGCACAAGCCTGTTCTAACCCTGAAGGCAGCAGGGTCCCTGGGTTTTGTCCTCCCATGCTCTGGGGTACTCGGCCTTTGGCTTCATGGGGACAGCACACTTTCCCAACTTGGTGGCCCGGAGAAACCCTGAGGCTGAGGAAGAGGCCATGGCTTGCTTTGCTTCAGAGCTTGGGGGTCCTATGTCCTGTGGCTCAACAGTGCAGCCCAGTTACTAGCACATTTGATCCTAAAAATCTTGGTCTGCAGCCAGCTGCAGGAAGTCAGCAGGAACTTAACCCCTGCGGGACACTCTGGGCCTCCGGCAGAAGTCCCTGTGCCCGTGGCATCTTTGAGGGTCCTGCAATTATGCCTGGGCTCCACTCAGAGTGTGCTTGGTTACCTTAGAAAACCATTTTGCAGCTTTCTCTACTTCTTACCGTGACATTGCAGCCAGGGTTCAACACATAGCCAGCACCCATTCCGTGGCCCTCTGCCCAGCATCCACCCTGACCAGGCCTGGGAGGGGTAAGCAGGCCCCACCTGACCTTGGTGTCTCCAAGATGCCCCAGGAGCCCCAGGTACTACAGGTTCCCTAAGAAGGCTGCTGGGAAGAACAGGGAGCAGCAAGCACTATGTCCTCCCACGTGGCATCCTGCCCAGAGCCACGGGGCGCCCAAGGACACTACAAAACATGTCACAGCATTGCCTGTCCTCACAGAGCCACAGGCCACCCTGGATAATATCACAGTACCCGGCTGGCTACACTGGGTGGCAGGCCCCCCTGAGACGGATGTGGTGTTACCCCAGGAAGGATCACTGTGCCCAGCTGGGTGAAGCTTCCTGTCTGGTCATTGTGCACCCCTTTTGTCCCCAGTGAGAATGATGCCTCTTCAGAGAATGAGCAACTGCTGAGCCGCAGTGTGGATAGTGACGAGGAGCCGGCGCCCGACAAGCAGGGGTCCCCAGAGCTATGTCTTTTGTCACTGGTGCACCTGTCCCGTGAGAAGCCAGCTCCCAGCAGCAAGTCAGCTGGGGTAAGGCCCAGAGGGCTCTGCAGTGTCCCCTCAGCACCCCCGTGGGATAAGCTCCAGAATGGGGCGCTTCTCCTAGCCACATCTGGTGCCAGACAGGGACAGGGTGACAGGGCAGCCAGAGGGCAGGAGCCATCTCCCTCCTTGTGCTGCCTCATACGTGAAAATGGAAAGTAAGAGACAGGCCTGTGTAACAGTGATGTACGGTTATGCACATGTGTATACTATGCACGTGTGAACACACAAAAAATGACAGTCAGCCCTTTGTGTCTGCAGTTCCAAATTGATGGATTCAACCAATCCCAGACAGAAACTACTAGAACCACCAAGCCTGCATACGTTCTAGGTGCAGACTTCCTCCTGTTCCCTGCATGCAGCAGCTCAGCAGCTCTCTGTACATGCAGAGTGACCTAGTATGGGCAGCACACGGGGCCACGTGCAGGTTCTGGGTGAACATCGGGTTCTTCTACATGGGAAACTTAAGCATCAGAGTCTGGGATCCTGGGGTCCCAGGAGCCATTGCACACACATCTTGTGCAAACTTCTTTCCACATTTCTTTCACACTGAAACAGGCTCCCTTATATACTGTCCAGGGCTTTTAGCTCGGAGCAGACAGCCCTTGCCTGTGTGTCCCCTGCCTGGGCTCCTGGGCACCAGCTATGCCTTCACACCAGGACCTGGGCCTCAGCAGACCACCTAGCACGGCAGCTGGGGATGTCCTGGGCCTGGGTTTGGCCAGTCCTGCTGGGGCATCATGTGACCTCTCTACAAGGTCATATGTGTAGGGACCCTGAAGGGCTTGGCTGTCAGAGGCCAGATGGGGTTCCTCAGCCAGGGCTGCTCAGTGCCCATCCTTGCCCCAGCAAAAAGAGATTGCCTGGCTCTGCCTTTAGCCAACTGGGTCTTACCCTTGGTCACCCTGTCCAGAACCCTGATGCCAGCCCACTTGCATGTCCAGTGCAGGTGAGAGGACCTGAGGGTGCCAGCTTGGGCCCAAGGGAACTTCCTCCCTCCATGTGCAAGGACCAGCTGCAGCACCTGGCCCTTGGACCAGGCCTCCCCTGGCCAGGGCAGAGGAGGAGGTAGGTAAACTCTCAACTCTTGCAGATCCAAAGCCGAAGAAAGAAGATCCTGGACGTGTACGCCAACGTGTGCGGTGTTGTAGAAGGTGAGTGTGCCATGGCTACATGGAAGACTGGGCTTCATGTCTTGGGAAGGCAGAGGCCCTGCCCAGTGTCCCCTGAGCCTCTCCCCCACAGGACAGGAACTGTCAGTGCCTGACAAAGGTGTGGAGCCCAGCAGTGGATCCAGGCAGCTCTGATGCCCATGCCCACTGGCCTGGGCAGTTATCCAGTAGTCAGTCCCTGAGCAACAGGACATGTCCAGGGAATCACATGGGCGATGTCACCTGCCACAGATCTTATGGGGCCACAGTATTTGCAGCTAGATGCTAACAGGCACCATGAGGCAGTGTGTGCTTGTCCCTAGCAGTCCCCTCGCCTCTCCTGAGGTGGACAGTGCTGGTCCAGGACTCCTACCTCCTGCCACAGCAGCCTCTCTGGTGTAACGGAAGCACCAGGTGCAGGCAGGTGAGCAGCCAGAGTGGATGTGGCAGCATCTGCTCCAGAGTGAGCCCCATTCCTGAGGGTGAACACGTCACTGTCAAGGCCAGCCCCCCTACCTGGCAGGGAGGCAGCAGGGGAGCCAGGCACCCTGATTCTCATGGCCTGGGGACCTGGCCAGGTTTCTAGGCCACCTGTAGGTTGCAGGGTCTCCCCAGACTCAGCTCTGGTCCCACCTCGCCTCAGACACCCTTAGCACAGGGCCCCCTCTGACCACCAGTCATGCTCTCCAGGCCTCAGCCCCACGGAGCTGCCCTTCGACTGCCTGGAGAAGACGAGCCGCATGCTCAGCTCCACATACAACTCTGAGAAGGCCGTGGTGAAGACCTGGCGCCATCTGGCAGAGAGCTTTGGGCTGAAGCGGGATGAGATTGGGGGCATGACAGATGGCATGCAGCTCTTTGACCGCATCAGCACGGCGGGCTACAGCATCCCTGAACTCCTCACCAAGCTGGTGCAGATTGAGCGGCTGGATGCAGTGGAGTCGCTGTGCGCAGACATTGTGGAGTGGGCGGGGGTTGCGCCGCCTGCCTCCCCACCCCCGGCTGCTGCGTCCTGAGGATACCTGGGACTTCCCATCCTCCCCGCAGGAGCTGGCATCTCTGGGCTTGGCAGCTATGGAATCCAGGCTGTACAGGGTCACAGTGCACCTTACAGGAAGTGGCCCTGCCTGCTGCCCCACCGAAGCGAAGGCTGAGCAGCCCTCCAGACCCTGGCATTTCGGGAACAGGGATTTTATCCACTGACCACCAGGATTCACCCACTGGATGCCCAGAACCAGGGAACCAGACCTAGCAGAACAACAGGTCCCTAAAGAGTGGAGACTCAGCAGGAGGCAGGGGACACCTGGGGGCGAAGAGCAGGGTGAGGAGGGGCGGAGGCCACAGATGAGTTCAAATCCTGAGAGGACATGAGGGCTGCCCAGGCAAGGAAGGTGGCAGCCGCATGGCAAACCTGTTCTGACTGTCCCAGGCGCTCTGGAGGAATCATCACTGCATGCCACCATTACCGCCATGCAAGGCCTGTGTCCCATTCCAGGGACGTGTGAGTCCTGGGCCAGAAACACTGGTGAATGGTCTTGTGGTCCTGGGGCAGACACGAAGACATCAAGACACACGCTGGGCCATGCTTCTGCAGGCCGCCCTCTCCCGTCCTCAGCCCTGTAGAATGCAGTCAGGAAAGTGTGTGTCGGCTGAGCCGGAGAAAGCAGCAGACAGCACAGCAAAAGCAGCCCAGGGGCTCCACATGATGAGCAGTGTGCAGGCCAGCGAGAAAACCAAAAGATGCACACAGCTGATTCTTTAGACCCCACAGCTGTCTACGGCGGACCCGTGCCACCCCACAGACTGCTAAGTAAAACCAGGCCTTGCCCAGAGCTGTTTGTGACTTCCAGCACCGCCAGTGAAGGAAGGAATGCACGTGCCCCCCCCCCCCAATGGGGTGTTGGTGATGTTGAGGGGACAGCAACCTGGGCTGGAAGAGTTAATGTCATCACCCACAGTCCTGCTGCGGCTGGGTTCCAAAACCTTTTAGTGCACCCTGTGATCTGCAAGCTATGGCTCTAGACCTCAGTTAGGTCTTCCAATTGAGAGCCCCACCGTGTCCCTGCTGGTGATGAGAAGTCATCACGCCAACCTGTGATTAGAGGGCAGGTCACAGGTGAGCATTGTACAGGCTCCATCTGAGCCTGCCCTGGCCTCAGCCACTGCTCTGGGCGCCCCACTGCCATGTCATCTGCTTACCTGAGAACACCCAAGAAAGGCTTGTGCCACAGGGATTCTGACCACTGGATCAAACCTCACAGGCCTCCACTGGTTGCTTGCAGTGAAACACTCACTACTTTGCAGTACTGAAACACGTTCAGAAAGCACTTCCAGCAAGGCCAGAGCCCTTGGCAAGTGAAGTCTTAATTATGAACATGTCTACTTGATTCTATGTATGTAATTTATTATATTTTATAATCTAAGTAAACACATGACTGAAACACATTGCCATATGAGCTCTGTGTCCACATGTGTGCATGTGTGCAATGGGCAGTGGGCAGTGGGTGGAGACCATGCTGGGCTGCTGGCCAGCAGTGATCAGACTGCAGGATCAGCCACTGTAAAGCACGCACCTGATCAGCAACCCAGGCCATCCCTCTGTCAAAACAAGCATTGCAGGATCCTATACAAAGCACCCAAGGCAATGCTTCCAAGCTGTCAGGTAGTTCACAAAGCAGTGTACCATGCAGCTACTGCTGTGTAACAAACCTTCCCCCAAATGCAGTGGTCATTTCTCACCCTAGCTCAAAGGCCAGCAGGGGTGAGTAGGCTCTTAGATCATGGCCTCTGCCTACACGTGCCTACACAGAGACCTTATGGGGTAGATCTGCTTGGTCTTCCCACATCCTCCCACGCTTGGGGAGTCAGAGAATGCTCTCACTGGGATAGGGCCGAGAGCAGACCTCTAGAGTCTGGGGCCTGGAGGAGGCCTCTCCTGACACACACAAATGGTCATGCAGCAGCAGCTGCAGCAGCAGCAGGGACATGGGACAGTTATCAGTCAGCTGCTGTCACTGCAACAGTGCCAAGGGGTCAGCATTTAAAGAGTGAGACGCATTGTGGCTCATGGTCCCAGGTTGGGCATGGTAAGGCCTGTTGGCTGCCACGCTAAGGTTGTGGGAGAGGCTGTGGCTAGGCTGCAGGCCGTGGTGGAGCATGGGGCACAACCGTGGCTAGGGAACAAAAGTGAGAAATAGTGAAGAGCAGACCTCTGAGCACTGGACTAATAATGTGACCATTATTAGAGTGTCACCAGGACCTCAGAATTGAGAGGTTTCAGCCATTAGGGTCTAAGGAGGAGGCCCTCTCTGAGTCCTCCATTCAAAGGCTAGGACACATGTGTGAGGATGCATCCACCAACAGTGTCAAACAGAGGAGTCCCCTGCCCTCAAGTCTTCAGGCACAGGCTAGGACACACCCATGAGGACATAGCCACTATCACAGTGTCATACAGAGCAGGTCCCTGCCCTCAGAGCCCTCCAGGCACAGATTAGGACACACGTGTGGGGACATATCCACCACCAGTGTCCCACAGAGCAGGTCCCTTGCCTCTATGCACCACTGGGTAATGTATAGTTTTGTCTCTACCATCATGGCATCTCGGAAAGCCTGTCCTGTTGGTGTCCTCTCCTCTCTCCCTTGCAAACCTTGACCTTGGGTAAGCCCCTATTGTCTGGCCTCCTGTGGCACTGTAGAGGTGCAGTATCCAGCAGCAGCCTTTTGGGGGCATCTTTGTTCAGTAGTGTGTGTTGAGTGTCCTGTGTCTTCGTGTCTGGAGCGTGCACTCCTCTGTCGCTAACATTTCACTTGGCAGAGATGCCATGGTCTGTTCACCCATCCTCCTGCTGTTGAGGGTCCTGGCTGCAAGATACGGTCTGATCAGTTATATTCCCAGTTATCTACAATGTTGTTTATTTCTAAACATTTTTGTAGTCAGCTTCCTTGCTTTTCTTAGGTTATCGTTTTTATTCTGATCAAGTTCTTTTTCCAAGGCCTTCTGTACTTCTGAGAGGGGCCTTACTTGGCTGCTCAGACTTCTCTAATCCTGGCTCCGCTGCCTCCTGCATAGCTGGACCACAGCACAGCTCGGTGTGCAGGACGGTGCAGGCCCGTCCAGCTGCTGGGGGGAACCAGGAGGCTGCCAACCTCTTCAGCTGTATGTGAGCAGAAGGGTTTGCAAGGAGTGGCTTCTGGACAATTCTACCTGGAGGGCCCTGCTCAGGTGGACTTTGTCAGTTCACAGATGCTGGCTGTCATTTTAAACCACTGGGCCATTATCTTGCCAGGAGATGTACTTGTAAAAGTCTGACCAGCAGTAAGTACAGTTTAACAGTATCATGCAGAACAAAACTAACAGCAATATCATGAACCAACTTTATATTTATATATTGGTTTTGAGTCACCAACCCAAATCGGACAGCAACCAGATGAACAAATCAAGTGACCACAGGCTGAGGGTGACCCTATGGGATGAGCTAGTAGGGTAAACCAGGAGAATTCATCTGATTCACAACAGATTTTTTTAAAAGACATTGAGCAGAGCACAATGTCTTTTAAATCCAGTAGCAGGTGTAGTACAGGTCTTGCTTTCAAAACATGCTTTTAAAAAATTAATTTATAGTTGTCCCACTTTTAGCAATGATAATGAAAATAAGGCTAATCTGTACACAAAGAGTTCAGGCTCACTGAAGTGGCCTGATTATTTCCACACATGCAACAAGCAGTGACCAGGAAGGAAACCACGGCAGACTTCGGTGTTTGTGCTTGCAATACCCACAGATGCTCTTTCTTTTATTTTGGCCTGAAGAGACGTTTTCTTCAAAAAAAAAAAAAAAAGGCTTTTCATTTATTAAGCCTAAAAATACATCTTCTACTTTCTGGCTTTTCTTTTTTTTGTAACAGGGATTGAACTCAGGACCTTACACTTGCCAGGCAGGTGCTTATCCTGCTGAGCTAAATGCTCGGCTTGTGCTTCTTTCTAAATCTACGTTTTGAAAACCTTGGAATTAAACATTTTTTCTTGAAAGCATGTCACCTTTTAAAATAATTTTTAAACCCAAAATACATCTTTTTGCACTATGTATACAAGATTACAGATGTTAACTGGAATTTCTTTCAACAGCCTTGATTTATAGTGAAAATTTAGCAAGTAAGCAATTTTGATTCTTGATTTTGATTCTCATATCAACATATTATAATACAAATTTCTTAATTTTTAAACACACCTTTTCATACAATTATTTGGTGTATGTAGCTTGTAATATATGCATGATATACATGTATATATGATTTGTAATAAAAGGCTAAAAGTAAACTAAGATTTTAATCACCAAATAATTTTGTTATAACTTTGTTATAACTTACTTTTTGTAAGTTTTGTCATAACTTATTTTTAACAATTATTTTGGATTTCTTATGAAAATTTATGATCCAGTAGATAATGTTAGCCATCACCTTTTTTTTTTTTTTGACAAGAGCAAATATTTAAAGTATCACAGAAGCTAAGAAAGTGGGTTAAGAGTTACGCGTGCTTTTTGCCTTTTACTCCTGTGACATAAGCACCATGCGATCTATCTTTGCTACAGGCTCTGCTCTTGGGGGAGATCTGCATTTTAGGATCTTAAATCGTTTTGCAGAGATGAGCACAAACTGTCCTTGTCAGAAAACCCAGGTGAAAAATGCACACTGACAATTCTTCAGACATCTGCATTTTCATTTTATGAGCACCTTACCTAAGTCATGTGACTCGGAAAGCATTTAGGGTTAGTTCCCATTTTTCTGACAGAAAGTCTGATTTATAAAAGCCTTTCTTCTCTTTAGAGTCAAGTCTTTCCACAAGTACCAGCAGGACAGCTGTTCAGGATGAGAACTCTCTGAAAAGTAGTACTTTTAGATGCAAAAGCCAGAGTCACTGAAGAAACACCTACTTTACTTGTTCTCATAGCCAAGGAACCTAGATGGCCTGCCCCCACCCCCACCCCGTGGTCGCCGGGGAAGGTGCGAAAGATGCTGCTCCCCTCAAGATCAATTTCCCCATCCATGGCCCAGGAAGGCGAGGACAGCAGTAAAGGCTCCAAAAGCAGAGCTGCCCCTGACAAACTGCAGACAGGAGCAAGTGAAACAGGCACTGCTTCTGGGAGGCTGAGTCACAAAAAATGGGCACTCAGGACCAAATCTATAGGAGCCACAATTCAAGGAACTGATCATTAGAAACACTCTCTTCCCTGTCAGCCCCAATCTCAAGGGAATGGGAGAGGAGGGAGAAAAGCAGGAAACCTTTATTTCATCCTCCTTTTCTCACCCAGCTGTAAGACAGAGATGAGGCGGCACGGCCAGGGTGAGATGGCTGTATCCCATGGTGGCAGAGCGTGGCGACAGCAGTGAGGACCGAGGACTGGGACAGTGGGCTCGGCTGAGGCTCACAGACATCACACAGAGGGACCTGGCAGATGGTAGGCTATCTGGTCATGAGGGAGCAGCATGCAGGGGCAACACTGACTGGTGAAGAAAGGGCGGCTGGATCCAGTTTATTTTTGATGGTAGCTCAAGTGACTGCTCAGATGGCCAGTTTTACCAATACCTTACAAGGCAGACTTTTAATATTTCATTTGTCCTTGGTACATAATCTACAGATCAGATTTTGGGTAAAGCACTTTCATGGTGGCTTTAAAAATGAATACCCTCCTCCCTTTCAGCATCAGATGGGTTGTTGTTTCAGGTGTGTCCTCACTTTATAGAGGACTGGCGGCTTGACGAGAATCCTTCAAAAAATCTCCAAGCAAGCTTTGGACACAGTACCAACACCTCTGATCTGCTTCCATTTGTAAAAGAGGGCTTCTAACTTACTTGGGAAAGGCTCTGACATTTTATGAATATCGGGGTTTAGCTCAGAGGCACAAGATTCTGCCTGGCAAGCACAAGATGACAAGTTCAATCCCCGGCATCAAAGGAAAAAAAAAAAGCTTTCCCTTGACGAATGAATATCTACTATTTATAATAAATAATATGAGTATCTACTATTTATTAACCTAGCAGTACTGAGGAGTGAACTCAGGGTCTTTGCACTGAGTGACATCCTGTCCTTTTTAAAAATATTTTTGGGACAGGGTCTCACAAAGCTGCCAATTTACATAGCCTGGGCTTAAATGTATGACCCTCCTGCCTCGCCTCCCAGGTGGTCACCACCATGCCAGGCATTTATCAAAAAGATTTCTTTTCTTTCTGTCTATATTTTTTTAAAATCTTTTTTCAGGTAAGGTTTCACTATATGGTTCAGAATGGCCTCGAGCTCACTTTGTAGCGCACGCTAGCCTCGAACTCTCAGCAATCCTCATGCCTCAGCCTCCCAAGTGCTGGGATTACAGGTGTGTGCCACTGTGCCCAGCATTAAGATTTTTGAAGCTAGTTTTAAGTAGATGTATTTTATAAAACACAATATTGAAAAGTCATTTAAAATTTTAAGCTACTTACATTCACCAAATTTACTTTTAAAAATTATGTTTGAAATGGTCTTTAAACACAACTAATTATTTAAAGAATCCAAATGTGCCTCTTCAACATATTCTTTTCAGCTCAAAGAAGTCGAGCCGCAGCAAGTGGAGGAAAGTTCTATTTTCTTTCCTTTCATCTAAAGAAAGCACTTTTTTTTTTTTTTTTTACTGGTGACAGCTCTGATGAGGCACCAAGCACATAATGAGCCTTGCTTCATTAGTCTTAGTTTCTTGCCTCTAAAAGCCTAAAGCTGTTTCCTTTTATAGATGCATCTTTTTTCTGAAGAATTTTAAAATAGCTAATGTCAGAAAGGTGTCTTCAGAGACTGAGTGCAACACTCAGGGTCTTCAGCCCATGTTCAACTCCAAATGTTGAGTGATAGGATGGTGGATTCGGGGTGGGTAACTTAGCTCCCTGCACCTCCTTGCTCCACTCTGATCCTAACAAAAATAAGATGACAAAACTTGAATGATTCCTCCCAAGTCTCCTCTGCACCTGGTATCATGGTTTTCAGGTGCAGAGGAGTGTACCAGAATGAATGTGCCAGCACACAGCCAGCCGGGCCACAACAGAAGGAGTCTCCATATGCTGTGGACTTTGAAAATCCCATTCTGTGTTTTCTTTGAGTATGAAAATTTAGTGGGGAAAAGAAATAGGGACTAGGAATAGCTCCTGAGAGACGGGAGGGGTCCCCACTAAGCTATCCCTGTTCTACTGTCTACTCATTCCTTCAAACCAAAAGAAAATTCCCTAAACCCTGTGAAAGGCTCAGATTCTGAGCCCAGCATGCTTCTGTTCACTTAGAGGCTTTTGTGACCTGGCGGCCGGCCTTTGCCCTAGGTGCCCAGCCCTGACCGAGCCCTCTCTGTGCCCAGAGGGAGCCGTGCCTGCCTGTGACCTAGACAGGAGACTGTTCTGGGACGTAGGCTACCTCGGACATGGTGGTGACTATCCTAATGGCTTCGGACTGCCACCTAGGCCTACCAATGTGTGCTTATTTTTGCTCTCCAAAAGATGTTCAGAAACTAGCAGGGATGAAAACAGTTAAGGGTGAAATAATTTACAGATGTGTGTAAGCAACTAAAATCAAAGCCAAGAATGTCCACCCAGAAAAAACTGTTGTCACCCCAGAAAGGGCTTCTGAGACATAACAGTCTTTCACAGTCCTAGGAGGGACACAAGGTCCTTTACTAAGGCAGCCTCACCCAAATCAGATACCAAATGGGTCAAAACTCAACCAAAAGGGAGAACAGGAAGCTGCAGGAGATACACTAAGGCAAAGTGGACTCAGATGAGTGCCCACGAATCTGGGGGATGCTAGGCCTCAAGGACAGAACTTGCTTCAGACCCCACTTCTGACACCTGATCATGTCAACCAGAATTCTCGACAGAGTGGCTCTCCAAAAAGAAAGGCAAAGTCTATTCAGGGACAAACAGGATTGAATCTGGTGTAGTGTGCTATAACGATGACAGACATACCTGGGAAGGCTGACTAAAGAAGAATTTTGTTTGAGACAGGGTCTCACTATGTAATTCAGCCTGGCTTCAAAGTTATAGTGATCCTCCTGTCTCAGCCTCCTGAGTACCGGGATTATAGGTGCACACTACCATGCCGGGCTAAGAGGAAACTGTTAAAGGCAAATGGAGAAAGGTTCCACAAGTTGTTCTCAAACAACTACCTTAGGTATCAGGGTAAAAAGTCAGGAGGAAAGTTCTATTTTCTTTCCTTTCATCTAAAGAAAGCACTTTTTTTTTTTTTTAAACTGGTGACAGCTCTGATGAGGCACCAAGGACCCTAACGAGCCGTGCTTGCAAATCTGCGTTATGGCCAGGTGCAGCTCTGGGCCATGTGTGCTTGGCTTGGCTCAGTGAAAGGAGAAAAGGGCCTTACAAAATTTACATGCTTTTGCCTCCAAATGGAGGATTCTGTTGTGTTAGGAAAACATGGTTTATCTGTTCCCTCCTAAGCACCAATTTTATTTCAAATAATCACATAATTTTAAGAAAAAATTTTCCTAAGACTTTTATAAAAAGTAATGCCAGTGTTATAAATTCTGGAAATGCCATCTTGTACATTCATATTATCTTAAAAAATATTTCAAAAAGCCCATTGTGTTTATAGATTTCATTTACCAAGTTGAAAAAAAAATCTTCCTAGTTATCTGTCATGATAAATGATGTTACTGGTAACTTGGTAAAATTGCAGCTACTTTGCTGATTTTCCCCTTCTACAGATAGGCACCAGATGAGTACCATAGACACAGACACAGGCCAGCCTACTGGCCTGCGCTGGAGGCCAGGCCACTGCCCTTCGTCAAACCCAGGTTGAACAGCGTGGAGTTCAGGTTGATGCAGAGAAAGGCGTGCTCTGGATGCGTCGTGCGCTGTAACTCCTGAAGCATCAGGTGAATGGTGAAAAGTTCGAAGAGCTTCTTGTTACTCCTGCAGGAGAGCCAGGATATTATTTCTTTACATACACTGAGGAGATCCATCCACCAACCCTGAGCGGTCACTCACGAGTCGGGGGAGGAATCAGCATTTCTTTCCTTCTAGACACAGTGGAGAAAACAGCTGACTGAAGGGTCTGGGTGTGGACACAAATCAAACAGGCTCCCTGGGAGGCTATGTTAACCAGCCAAGGTAAGAGTCGGCTTTCCAGACCTGAAGACTGCTGGGGATGAGAGTCAGCACCTGGGCGTTTGGAGCGAGCTAACTTTGGTAGAGGTCTGGGGATGCAGACAGGCAGGCACAGCTCCATGATGTCCCACCCTGGGATGCTGTGCTCAGCTCCTTGTCTCCCAATCGAGACCACCACATGCCTCTGCCAACCACCTGCTTACAGATGAGGTCCCACTTGAGGCTCTGCCCTGGTCCTTCCACTAAGTCTGCAATGAACCTGAACTACAAAATGCATCATGGAGAGTGGCATGCTCTGGTTGAACAGTAAATGTGCACTCTGGGGACACTTTTTAGACATCACATGAAAGAAGGGAGGGGTAAAAAAGAATTCAATCTGGGGGTAATGTTACCACAGCCCCTTGTCCCCCGGCCTGCAGGTAGATTTACTGATCTCAGGTCAGCAGAGTTGAGGCCCAGTCTGCAAGCCAAGTGAAGCAGTGAGCCAGGATGCTGACTTGATTCCAGAACAGGAGTAACAACCTGGTGAGCCGAGAGTACTGACCATGGCACACTAGGCTTGGCGCCAGCGGGGCTCACATACCCACTGCCCTCACCTGTGAGTCTGAAAGTGCACTGTACTCACTGCCTAGGAACAACTCAGCCTGGGGAGATCCTGGGCCAGGGACAGGACCAAGAGACAAGGTGAACCAGCGTCAGAATTACTCTGTGAGGGGTGGCTGTCTGGATCTGCCTCAAAGTAAACAGGAGACTACCAAATTCAAGTAAAACAGAGCTTGAAATGTATGTCCTTCATTTATAATTTAAAAGGTGGTCCTACCAGTGTATGAGTCGGAGGAGGAGGAGATTTTCTTCTGATTCTCAGAAGAAAACCCAAATCAGTGGAAGGAAGCCTCTAAATGCCCTAATAAACTCAGATGCCAACATTATTTAAAATCACTTTGCCTGCTTCATTCTCATTCCCCAACTTCCTTCAGCACATTAATGAGGAATTATAAACTACAGTGATCATCCTTCTGATTTTCACATATGGCACCAGAGAATACCAGTGCATAGGGATCCGTCCTGCTACTATTGCTTGGTTGTTAACCCTGTTTTTAGGGCTCTGGAGTGTAGCTCCAATCTAGCACTTATTCAGTGTGTAATAAGTAGTATCCAGGTTCAATCTCCAGCACCTCAAAAAACAAGCAACCTGCTCTTAATTTTATATACCATTATATACTATCTATTGTTAAATACTGGTCTCAGATAAGTATTAATAGTCACGAATCTTACTTTTCTGTATACACAGATTAGAAATTTTGATTTCACAATCAAAGTTGAGCTGGTCTTGAATTCATTAAGGCCAAAATGATCACAATAAAATATGTATCAATAAAAAATGTTAGAAATATGAAACTCTTACTTGATTTTTGAAAGTTTCTGTAGAATAATACTGAGCTTTTCTAGGATCTGAAGATCAAGCTTAGGGGTTCGAAGCAGCACAGAACAAGTACGAAAAAACGAAGAGTTGCTGCAGGCTTCCAGGAAAGGCTGCAGGGCTTCTGCAAAACAAACCACCAGGCCCTACGTCAGGACAGCTGGGAAGGAGATCAAGCAAAAGCAGAACTGCAAAGGTGGTTTACAAACATGACCCAGAGTTCCGTTCCTTCATATTTAGACTTAAGATGAAATTATCATTTGAAAAATTAAAACGTCCACTATCTCACTATCACAAAGGGAAGAAATTATTTTCTCTAATGTCAGACTTATACTAGACAAAGTTCAATAGAAACCCATTGAGACATGAGGGGTTCTGGGGTGGGAGAGATGAGAAGATGATATAAAAAGGACCAAGGTACAATACACACAGGTACCTATTTCCCACAATAGATGCAGTCATTATTTACTGACGCACACATATACTAGCAAAATTCTCTAAATCCCAAGTTTGAAAAACAAAACAAAAAAAAAGTGAAAGTCTTTCTTTTTCTTTTTTTGAGCCAGAGTCTCACTGTGTAGTTCAGGCTGGCCTCAGACTCGAACAGACCCTCCTACTTCTGCCTCTTGAGTGCTGGGATTATAGATGTGTACCATCAGGCCCATAATTTCTTTAACAAGCTCAGAATTAAGCTCAGTTTAGATAACTGGCAATAAGAGTTTTTTTGTAGTTGAAAAACAAAATGAAACTGTAAATCTAGAGATTTTTTTAAAAACTAAAAATTTAGAGGTTCTACGCATGGGGGGTTAAAAAATGGCAGCTTGGGGCTGGGGATTTAGCTCAGCAGCATAAGCGCTTGCCTTGCAAGCAGGCAGTCGTGAGTTCGATCCCTGGTACCGATAAAAAGGAAAAAGACAAAAAAAAAAAAAAAATGGCGACTTGCTAGGGGGTTAGGTGCAGAGTCTCTGTGGAGAAATCAGATCAGAGGCTAGAATATGACAACATGGAAAGGGCCAGATGAATGGATAAAGATTCTTATTAACCAAGGCAGTAACCAAAGGGAAAAATAAAACTAGGAAGAAAAAGGAAAAGCACAGATGGAGAAGCCCCGAAGATGAAGATGAAGCCCCATGTGCTCACTGAGCCCCGTTCCACGGTGCACTAGGCATGCCCAGAGGATCTAAGGTCGTGCTGAGACCACAGCTGCCGATAATGGGAGCCTGCGCATCCTGGACCCTTAACAGGAGGACGTGGCACAGTGACCAGTGGATGCAAGGGGAAAAGCTGTATTGGCTCTTGGCGACTGCTGTAAATTGAGACCTGGGACCCGCGAAGCAGCCAAAGCCACCTGGCCATGGCAGAGGAGACTGTGAGAAGCTCCAGAGCTCCGAAACCAGACACCATGCAGTTTTCTGACCAATGCACACTATGCTGGGAACACAGTAAAAACAAGTGGTGCAGTGTACAGTGGACCCAAGAGGAAGATCTGCATTGAGTTCCAGTGAGTACTAGGGACTGGGTCCTGTGGCTGCTGTCGCTGGCTCAAGGACATCTTGGAATTGGGCAGATCCTGGCACCACCGCGGCATCAGTTACACAGAGAGGACTGGTGGAGGACATCTTGGAGTTGGGCAGAGCCCGGCACCATGGTGACATCAGCTAGTCTCTCCTGGCGCAGAGAGGTCTGGTGGAAGACATCTTGAAATTGGGCAGAGCCCAGCACCATGATGGCGTCAGTGACACAGGGAGGACTGGTGGAGGACATCTTGGAATTGGGCAGAGTCTGGCGCCATGACAGCGTCAGTGACACAGAGAGGTCTAGTAGAGGACAGCTTGAATTTGGGCAGAGCCCTGCGCTGTGGTGACATCAGTCAGCCGCTCCTGGCACAGAGAGAACTGGCAGGGTCTGCTGGGGCTGAACCACGCCTCTGTTTGGGACCCAATAAGCAGATACAAAATAGTTGCGACTCTGTGACGTCCACAAGGTACAGCCTAACTTACAGATTGTCTGACACAGAGGCTGGAGGCTAGCCTGCACCATCCCTGTATCCTTGCATGTACCTCAGATAATAGCAAATTTGAGCAAAAACTCCAGTCAGCACACTTTGGAAAGACCCTAAGCAATATGGAGCGGGCCAGAGACCCCCAGGACACCAGTCTGAAAGAAATCAGAAACATGACAAGAGATAGAAATAAAAAAATCTCCAGCTGCTGAACCTGGAATAATAAGCCCAGGAGAAGTAAATACAAAAGAGAACCAATCATCCAATACTAAGACACAGCATCAGCTAATATAAAGAAATACCTTCATGACCTCATAGACGAATTTAAAACTGTACTTCTGATCCAAGTGAGACAAGATATAAAGAGACTAATTAAAGAAATGATAAGCCCCTCTCAAGACAACACAGATGGAAGAATGGAGGGACTCAGAAAAAGAGAAACCTCTGATGAAGAATTTAAACTTAACCTAGAATACATGAAACAGATCCAAAGAGATTACCAGAACTAAAAACTCCATTGAAAACTGGCAAAATGCCCTGACAGAAACTAAAGTTAGCCTTTTGAAACTTGAAGAGAGATTTATAATATATGATTGTGAAAGATAAGATCTCTTAAAAATAATGAGGAACCAGAAAGAAACAATTCAAAGGCTACAACATGACTAAAGGATACACAAGACAAAAGGATATACATGACTACAAAAGGATACATAATTTAGGTAACTTAGGATACATAACAACTAAAGGATACACAAGACAAAAGGATACACATGAAGACAAAAGGATACATAACTTAGGATACATAACTTAAGAATAAAGTATATAATTTAAGAATAAAGCAAGGATACATAACTTAAGAATAAAGCATATAACTTAAGAATAAAGCATGCGAATGAGGAAGCAAGAGTAACCAAAAATGAGCTACAAAGAATATTCACAGATATATTAAAGGAAAACTTCCCAAGCATAGGAAAAAGAAATGATAAATGAGGCATACAGAACTCCAGCCACCTACAGCCAAACAGATCTATACCCAGACATATGATAATCAAGATTGCAGAAATCCACCAAAAGAATAGAATACTAAAAGCAGCTAGGGAAAAGAAGCAGACTACCTACAACAAGAAAACTATCAAAATAACAACAGACTTATCAACACAAACTCTCAAATCAAGAATGGCCTGGGGGAAAATAGTCTAAGCCCTGAAAGAAAATAATTTCAACCAAGATTGATATACCCAGAAAAACTCTCTCTCAAAATTAATGGAGAAATAAGATGTTTCCAAGACAAGGAGAAACTGTGGAAGTTCATGGTCACCAACTTAACCCTACAGAGAGTGCTGAAAGGACATTCCAGACAGAGAGAGGAAGGGATACCAGGATTCCAGCAACAGTGGCAGAGAGGCCTCAATGAACTGGGCAGACAGTGGAATGAGGGAGTAAGTTAGACAAATTATAGCAATGAAGTGGGCTAGCAGACATGAGGCAGAGACGGTAAGCTATAATCTTTAGTATAGATAGCTTTGATACACTATAATAAAAAAAAAAGCAGAGGTCATTGTTAATAGTGTATCAGGGTTTAAAAGTCACAGTAATCTTCTCACTCTGTTTAGTTTGATTATATTTTGTTCCAGTCTGTCCACTCATATCAGATTTGAGGGCACAGATATCTAACCCAAAAATAGCAGGTTATACCACGGTAACTATCCTTAATTTCCTATTAACTTAAACTGAAACACTATATTACTTACATTGTCTTACTATGACTGATCTTATTTGAATCTGATTTGTTAGACCACGGTTTTGCCTTGGCTGATTTTATTCGAATTTGGTATGCTTGATAGTTATCAAGTCTAAAAGTAAAGGCAACTACTCTGAAGGTGACAAGATGTAAAAGATATCCATACCGGTTTTATTAACAGCTCTCAAGTCCTACAATGTTTTCAATATACTCTGTTCCTGTAACTAGTTCAAAAAATTCTTTCCATGTATGAATTTCTACATGTATATCTATCCTCTCTATATTATAGGGAAAAATAAATCATAACAAGACAGCAAAACAAATTCCTAGAAAAACATGTAATGAAAAAGACACATAAGACCACAATATTAGGTGATCTACCGTAGTTACTATGCTTTCTCTTGTTATTTTCAATAGACTTGTCCACATCATCATGCTTAATATAGTTAAGCATAGTATTACATAGATATTTTTATAAAAACACAACTTAGTAAGACAGCCATGTGCTCTGTCACCAGTTCCCCAGGATGAATGTGAGGATTATGTGTCACAAACATGTTCTCATAGAAAAATAAAGTAAATATATAAATAGTTTAAGTATTTAAGAAGACAATTTTTTTTAGGAAATAATAAAACCTACTCCGGGTGGAGATTTTGCTCTGAATCACACAGCAAATGAGGGGCAGTCCCTGAGCACAGACCAGTCACTTCTGCTCCTTCAGAAAGGAGTCTCACAGTGCCTAGGCGGGCTCCAAATCCCTGGGTTCAGAAGACTCTCCTGTCTCAGTCTCCTGAGTAGATGGGATCACAGATCCAGGCTGCCACATCAGCTTTCCCTTTTATAAGAAAGACAAAAGTTTCCTAAAAACACTCAGCAGACTTCCGACCTGCACTGGTACCTGCAGACCTCATGCACTTCATGTATACAGAGCACATGGCTGCCCCTATAGTGATGAGGGCAGCAGAAGACTTTGGGGCGGAAGCCTCAGGAGGACAGGTTGGGGGCAGCCCAGCCCTGGTCTGCTGCAGTCTCTGCTTCAGTTACTCCCTGAGACAATCTCAGTGCTTTTTTCGAGACATGATATTTGACGTAAATTCCCTTTTCTTCAGATTGGCGGAGGGCATTTCAATCCTCAGTTTGAGAAAGATTACCTGAATACGTAATCAGTCTCAGCACTGCACCCTCACGACTCTCCTTAATACACGCAGAAGGCTGGGGTGTGGCCTGGGAACTAACTGAATGCTGACCACTAAGATGGCTGGAGGGGACTGGAGACCACTTGAGTGCTGCCTACATTCCTGACATTCCCTCCCGAGCAGAACAGAGCACATCCGGTAAGCAGGAGGCACGTACTCACTTTGTGAAGACTCTGTACACACT